GCCGCCTCCACCCCCACCCCCACCGCCCCACATTTCACCCATACCACTACCAGCATTGGTTCTCTGCACGGACTTGCCATCTAGTTGGGCTGGGCAATGAGTCGCCTTAAAAAATCCGGATAATAATCTGTTAGTGCACCTCTTCGGCAAATAATATGATATGAACCGCTTCGGCAAAAGGGTTAGAACCACTTCGACAAACGGGTTAGAACCACGTCAACAAATAGGTGGACCCATTTCAGCAAATAGGTCACGAAAAAGAGTTAGGAATCTGAATTTGGACAATGTTTCATCGAGAATTATCCGGTTATCCTTATAGATTATCCGGATTTTACCTACCTCTACTGTAGTCTAGCACGGCAGGTCCTGAACTGGAACGCCCTAACAGCGCTTTGTTCGTGTGTGCAAGGCTTATGCTTGCCCTTTCCTGGTATGGAATCAGTTTCACTTTACATTTTCCTTTGAAGGTATTGGATCATTGCCAACGCTTCGAACTTGTTTAAGTCTCGTATTTTTCTCTCCTCCTCCTTTTCGTTGTATATTGTTCTCAAGTAACACGTCTATAATCTTTTTTTTAAATTATAGTTTAACAGGGGTTTTTCGGCGTTCGCAACTGCATAAGGTCATATGAGCGCCAGAAGATTAGAGCTGTTAAAAGAGAGTAACAAACATAAAAAAGATGAGGGGGAGATAAGGACGATCGATACTTGATAGGAACTTACATGACCTATTAAGCGTCGCAAACGCCGTAAAACGATAGACGGTTGAAGGGAAAGAAGGAGCAAACCACATCAGAGCGCCCGCCAACCGCCTACATTCGGGAAGTAAATGGTGCGATCCAGTTTAAGACAGAGAACTTTGATGAAGACAAATGAATCAACTAAAGCTCGTCCAACTCAAAAACATCACAACTCTTTGAAGGTGACTTTTGAATGCCTACAGCAATTTCAATCACACCGTTTCAAGTAATTTTGTATCAATTTGTCTTAATATACTGTAAGTAATTATATTATGGTTCTGGGCCGAGTATTAACTGTAAGCAATGTTTTCTTTATGTCTTTGTTAGATAATAAACTATATTGAGTCCAACAATGTGATGATTCACACACTGTGACTAGAATCGTGATGTCATGCTCTGTTTTCTTAAACGGTACAAGAAACAAGCTGATTTGTTTATTTTTAAAACCACTATAACCTAAACCAATGTTTCTTGACGACAGATGCACGATTGGGAATTGTCTTCAAAGCGCCCATACATATAATTTAATTTTTAAAATGATTCAATCATATAAAGTTATATTACAACCCCACCTCCTCCAACTCTAACCCACGAAAACAACAACGACCAACCAACCAACAAACCAGCCAACCAACCAACCAACCAACCAACCAGCCAACCAACCAATCAACCAACCAACCAACCAACAAAAAAACAAACAAACAACCAACCAACCAAACAAACAAACAAGCAACCTTCCACAAAACAGTATTACAATGCCGGGCCTAAAAGAAACGAAAAAAAAGCCAACAACAAACCCACCCAATCTTTGTTTGATGAAAAAAAGACCCAAACGAGAAAAAAGTTTCCTTGACCTAGCTCACCACAAAAACTAAGAGAGCAAACAAGTTAGATTTAGAGCCGTGGGAAACCAGCATAGAATTGGCCACACAGTGGTGGCCGTTGACAGCATAATGGAAGATCTACTTCTCTTACTTCTTTCCCACTGCTTTGTCTGTCTCTCTCTCTGTTTCTCTCTCTCTCTCTGTTTCTCTCTCAATCTCTCTCTCTCTCTCTCTCTCTCTCTCTCTCTCTCTCTCTGTGTCTCTCTCTCCCTCTCCCTCTCCCTCTCTCTGTCTCTCTCTCTGTCTGTCTCTGTCTCTTTCTTTCTATATCTCTTTCTCTTTTTGTTTCTCTGACTCTTTCTTTCTTTCCTTC